AACCACTGGGCTGATACACGTGCGGTTTTTTGTGCGGGGTAGCTTTTTCCCTTCTTTCACATAGTGTGCTACTCTCGATGCATATGGGTGACCCCTAACGCACGTTCCACGTGTAAAGCCAAGAGGTGCCTGTTTTGTAATAAGCGCAATAGCTCGCGGTAATTACTGGGCCGATTGCGCTAAAACTTGGCATGGAGGTAGACACTTTCCAGGCGATGTATTTCCATGTGTCTTGGTAGGGGTGCAACTGCACGTGCGCACGTGCAGGGTGACGCTTCCAGATCTCGAGAACGGCTGGACCGATTGTGTTCAAATTTGGCATAACGCTTGATACCGATCAGTAGGTTGCAGTCATTTAGTATGTATTTCCGTGTGCCACGATTGGGGTGCAACTGCACGTGCGCACGTGCAGGGTGACGCTTCCAGATCTCGAGAACGGCCGGGCCAATTGTGCTCAGATTTGGCACACCGCTAGAGATCGCGTAGTAGGGTGTCTTGCACAGGTCTGCTGGGCCCCAGGTTGCACGTGCGCACGTGCAGGGTGACGCTTCCAGATCTCAGGAACGGCTGGGTAGCTGCACGCCTGATTTCAAATAAGTGACGAAGGGATGTTGTTTATCATCAGTTCAGTAAAACATCTATCAAGAGGTAGGAAAATCGTCGTATGTCGTATATACCTCGCATATTCGTGATGGATATGATTACACATGTAACAGTTTCAACCATGTAATTTTATACGCACCATCGCGCATACCATTCCCTCACCTGATATACGAGTATCGGTATTACCTTTCTTTGAGCCCGCTCGCTCCTGACTCAGTAACCTACACCCACCCCCTCCCCGGTGAGTGATTCACAAAGGCCGCCCTCGCCCACCACGGGCCCTGAGCTGCCGCTGACCTGTCTGACCGAACACCAGGCCATGTGTGTGTTGTGTACCCTGGCACCGGCCGCGAACCGGGCGCCAGGAGGACGCCGGTTGCCAGGTCGGTACAGTTGCCAGATGGTCAGACGGACCGTGATCAGAGGATCATCAGAGAGCGGTGGTGTTTAGAGACCATCCGAGGACGAAGGGGTGTTTTTAATTTCTCTGCAGGGGTGGAAGTGTTTCCGGTAGTCCTGGCGCTTCTGATAAATCGTAAGATCTGAAGGCAATGGTTGAAGATAGAAAAGAGTGAAGACAACATTTTATTCTGGAGTTTAGATCACAATAGATCACAAAGACTTGTAACATTGTATTCCTCTATTGCAGTGGTCGGCAGGTCATTCGGGGTCGTGCCCCCTTTTTGGGCGCCAGGCAGGGCCATTACCCCCACCTACCAGACCCCATTGCTGACACAACTATGCTTACTGAAATTCCATACCGTCCTGGAACTCTTTGGGTATTTGTGCATTTCCAATGCATCAAATTTAAAACATGACACTTCCTCCACAAAACATTTAATGCCTATATCCCAGTAGCGGCGGAACACATTCAATTAAGGGGGAGGGGGGAGCACTGCCGACTTTTGGTCCCATTCTTTCCATGCAACGCCCATAGGGCTAATGTTAAAATGCAAAAATCAAAGGGTGCACGGTGCCCCGGTGCCCTCCCCGTTCCGCCGCCTATGCTATATCCCATTTAACCCTTGTACGTATAGGGGCGGCGGGTGGTTTTTCGTTAAAAGCTCACGTAAAAGGCATTGGATCACGACCAAATTGTACCCTCGAGCCCATCATTTTTTTTTTCACCAGCCCGGAAAATATCATGACCTGAGACCAGTTTTACCAGCAGAAAAATAACCGCCTGCCGGAATTTTGCCTCAAGACCGCTTCACATACGGAGCGTAAGCGCGATGGGCTCGTAAGCGGATAGGGCTTTACCGTTTACGCTCCATATGTGAAACGATCTTTAGGCAAAAATTCCGGCAGGCGGCTATTTTTCTGTTGGTAAAACTGGCCTCTGGACCCATAATGACCGTTGGCTTATGAGCCTTTTCTGGAGATCATCTTGAGCCATAAAATCTCACTTCAAGAAGTTATAGCGGGTCCCGATTTTCTCGACACTTATCATTGCCCTCTTGAATGAGACGGAATGACCAAGGACCTTAAAAATGGGCAGCAGCGGCTTCCTATGGTCACGGGTAGCACGCTCGTCTTTTTTATGCACAGCTCCATATCAGAGTCCGAGAGGCCGCGGGGGTCCGATCGACTCCTCCCCCTTACGTTAGCGGCTGTTGAAACGCCAACAGACGGGCGACGGTTAAAAGTTGCAGCTGCTTTTGAACGACTGTACGGAGGGGTGAGATGGTGAGGCGAGCAGGTACGTGAAAATTGGTATCTAATCAATAGTGTGCTGTGCCTTTGGCCTGGGCTAGTCTTTGAACCCTGGGATGCAACAGTCACGATGGCTCCATCACTGGAGCTACAAACTCTAAAAAGATATGCTTTCTCAGAATCCCTCATTACCCCCACCGAAAGGGCTCCATTACCCCCAAAGGGGGCATGCCCCACCATTTGCCGACCCCTGCTCTATTGGCAGGCAGTGCTCTTCAAAGGCCCATTTAGTCTGCTAATACATCCTCACAAATCGCTTCCGCCGCGCCGGCCGGAACTGAGAATAAAAGAGAGCGTGCTCTATGGGATAATCCCTCTTTGTAGAGATCCACAGACCCCTCCAATCACAACAGGATACAGCGACAGAGGCCTCAGCGGTTGTCTGGATGATTGACATCTCCTCTGATCGTATGTCACTACAAAGGCTGGATTATCTTTGTATGAATTACATTGATGCACTGGGTCCCTCAGCCTCGGTTATCCATAACCATGGAACAGACGGAGGCAAAAGGAATACTTTCTGATGAGTTCAGTGACAGCAGAGGAACCAACAAGCGCACTGTCTTATGACACGTAAGGAATCTACATATAAAGTCTCATCATTTCACATGCCGGAATACGGTCATCAATGAGTCACAATGAAAACTGCAGCAATCCAAGTACCATCCAATATTCATTGGAATCCTGACAAGGTGGGAACAGCCCCCCATCTCACATCATTCGGCCTGGGATAATAATCTTTCTCTCAACACTGAGCGGCACACTGCTCTAACTGCACCGATAACACCTGTATCTGTTTCAGATTGAACACACGGCTGGGGGTCTAGCACAAACAGTGCAGTGTGGGCAGACTGAGTATCGCAGACAGGTGTGAAGGAGAGAGGAATGGAGGGGAGGGAGAGAGGAGGAGTGACCCAGCTGGATACAGGCCAGACCAGCTGCGGGAGGGATGGCCTTGAAAGATTGGGGAATACAAGGAATCGCGCTGTTCTTTCCATCATGAGACTCGATGAACCAAACTGATAAGTGAAAATCGGGTAACTAAAAAATCAACAATTCAAGGTGTTCAAAATTCGCGAATAGCGCCATGATTGATATCGGTTTTCAAAGTGCTTTTGTCATTTACCTATAGCTCTCATCCCCTCTCCCTCTCTCTCCTCTCTCTCTCTCTCTCTCTCTCTCTCTCTCTCTCTCTCTCTCTCTCTCTCTCTCTCTCTCTCTCTCTCTCTCTCTCTCTCTTTCTCTATCATTCAGTAGCACTTCTGCTTTTGAAAATGCAAGATGTTTCCATCTACACAATGCACACAATATGTGCATTGTTACGCTATGCTTCATTTAAAAGCTATGTGTAAAACTATAAATGAGTCAATTATCATTTCCTAAACACAAACGTGTCTGAACGCACCTGAATAACCACCGTTATCAGCAGCCTCGTCATCTACAAGTGTCCTCCGTGGAACAGTCATCAACCACAGGTGTTTCCTAATACCAGAGCGCCCCCTCCCCCCGGTGACAGCGACATAACCTTCAGAGGTTACAGGGTCACAGGGGGTCTCAGCTGCAGACTGGGGTCATTGACCTGGCGATGACAGTTGGATGAGAGAACCTCAGTTTGAGGAGCATAAACACACCTTCGTCAAGAAAATAGCTCTCGTTACGGATCAGTTAGAAGGACGGAGGCGGTCCGAAAATAAGAAACTCCTTTGTAAGGGCAGCCGGGGTGCTATATCAACATTCAACAGTGCTTCCGGTTCTAATTTTTCTTTCTGTTTGTGCCTCTGCTGATGTGACGGTGCCTGCTGTGAATTGCATTCGTCGTTTTCATCTGTTTGGGAGCCGCTGACACCTCTAATACCGCACAGGAATGAACAGGGAAGAGAGGGACAGGTCAGAGGAAATCCCAGCGGGAAATGCCATCGCCATGAGCAACGTCAGAGGAGTGAGGACTTACAGAACACTTGAAAACAGACTTAACCTCGTTTTCCACGAAAATAATTCTGAGGATCATATCAGATGAGTGCTTTAGGTTTTCTGCGTAAATAAATTCCACCATAGCAGTCATTAACCATAAAAATTGTCGCTAGATAACAACCCACGGCAAGTTGTGGCATGGCTCCTTCCGCCGTGCATTTGACCAGTGCCTATCACCAACCATTGATAGAGCTATAAGCCCACCTAGCGCTGAGGCCGTTCGCTCTCAGCACCGCATCGCGCTATGAAATTGACACCACCGCGGCCCGGGGTCGGAACGCGCCACCTAGAATCAGATCGGACCCAGCCCCCCTATCCTCCCTCCGCTGACCCTCCCCCTGGCGGACACCTGAGCCCCCGGACGCATAAAGCGCGCACCGATATGGGTCATGGCCCCAGTACAGCCGCTGGCAAAGTGATTGGGTACAGTTGCTGACATGGTTCATTGTACCGGGAAGTGCATGAGCTAATGTTGGTAGCTACACTAATGCGATAGCGGTAATTTGTATGAATTATGCATGAATTACATTGCAGTAAGTGAAATTGGAGCTGCATTTCACCTCGTCAAAATGTAAAGAATATGAAGGCATTATTCCCAACTAGCCTCGTCAACCTTCATCGCAGGTGTAAGGTTACAAAGATTAAAAAAAAAAAACGGAGCAAGGACCGTCAACAGATCAAACGCCGATGTATCGGCGGCGGTAGGTACTCACCGTTGACGATGTGTCGCTGCATCCCCGGGGGTTTGTCCAGCGATCGACTCCGACTCAGTGCCACCATTCTCCGGGCCGGCGGCGGGGTCTGCTGCTGCTGCTGCGGCTGTGGCTGCTGCTGCTGCTGGGCCACCGCCCCCATCGCCAGCCGCTCAAACGCAGCGTTCAGCTCCTCCTGTGACCCCGACCGCTGCATCCCGTCCACGGCAGCCCGGGCCGGGCTGGGGCTGCGGACCGGGCTGCGACGGGGGCCCACGGACGGCACAGCTCCCGGTACTGAGACCGGGTCCTTCCGCACGGCGCTGGGACTGCCCTGCAGCACCGGGGCCGGGGGACGTACCGTGTCCTTCCGGGCAGCGCTGGGGCTGCCGTGCCGTGCCGGGGCCGGGGCAGGAGGTGGGGGACGTACGGGGGGTGGGGGAGGAGGTGGGGGCGGAGCAGGCACCGCAGTAGGAGCACTCTGTTTTCGGCTCATCCGCGGCGACGGCATCTCACTGAAAAAGGAGAAAAACGTGCGTCAACGGCACTATTGACGAAGGATGAGACCAGTTACAGCGCCATCTAATATTCCGAAAATCAATAGCAGGTCCGGTGGTATGAGAAAATGAGACAGGAAGCGTCAGTCCGGACGATGCCATTATTCACAAAGGGCCGTGGGGAATTTCGTCTGGCTCGACAACATGCCACTGAAACTGACGTAAAAAGTGGGATTTCATCCGATCAGTTTGCGACAAGCGGTGCTGAAAAAGGTTACCTGTCAAGAATTCGCACTTTCGCGCTTGTTACAGGCCATGCTTGTATGTAAGTGGGAACGGATTATTACTCAGGCAATCTGCTTCGACAAATGCAATGCTGAAAAGTGAAAACAGTAGCATCGATGAGTGAATCGCGTCAAAGTCGCCTGATTGAGTCCGGCCGGAGACAGGCCAATTCCCGCGGATGCTGCTCCGCGCAGCATGGGAGCTCGGCGGCACAGCCTAGCAGTCAGGCGTCGGCGAGCCTTTAGTACGGACGCCTGTAGCATGGAACCGCTAGCCGAAAAAAAACGAATAGCTCAATCTAGCAGGCAGATTCTATATTTATATATCATATCGCTAACTTATGAAACGATTAAATCAACATCATCGATCTAGCAGATATTACGAGTCAATCGGCGGAAAGGCGATCAGATGAAATGCACACAGGGAGATGGGTCATCTATGTAGTCACTTTTCCGCAGGTAGAGGCGACAATCTAACATGACGTCTCGGTATGCATACCGACCTGTTGTGGATGAGCAGCTTCCCTCCGATGGTGTAGTAACTGGGACTGCCGTCCCGACGGTGAGGGTTGAACTTCATGACGTCACAATGACGTCACAGATAGCTAACCAATATCGTATCAAGGCAGGAACATTTACGATCACCAAACCACGGACGTTTGCATTCACATATCTTGAATCTCACGAATGGAGGCTCTAAGATTTCACTCTTCACTCATACAGCCACATGAGCCGCAGGGCAGGATCGCACCACGCTGCACGATAATCTCTGAGGTGCCTTACAATGACCTGCCGTACTCTGCCGTACTCGGTCGTACTCGGCCGTAGTTGACCGTACCCGGCCGTGCCCTGGGGCGAGGCCGCCCGACGACTGAGCTCATCTGGTGGCCTCCAGGGCTCCTCCGCCCTCTCTCTCCCCTCTCCCCCGGGGGTGGCCGGTGCCAGGCCTCACAAAACACGGCGCAGCTCGCTGGAGCGTCTGCCAGGGCCACGGGCGGCTGGACCCTGCTGCCAAATATACCGGCCGGGCGGCGCCGGCGGCGGCGGAGACACAGGGGACGGCAGTGGGAGCTAGAACTGTCGACGGGGTGAGGTAAGGGGGTGGGAACGAGCTGAGGCTGGATTCATGAATGTTGGAGGGCAGGGGTATAAAATGTTGGTGACGTCGATATGTCGAAATGTAAAATGCTGATGTTGTCGAAGTGTGTAAATGTGTATGAATGAGAAATAAACACCGAACTATCTTCCTGTCTTCAAGCACTATTCTCAGGACTCAGGAATGAATGCAGCGGATCGTGTAGCTATGATTTCCGACATCATTTGATACCCCTACTGAGCCCCTATTGACCTGAAAAGAGTCCACAGCGATCACGAGACCTCGAGACGGATTGTAGACGGGAAATTACCCTCCTTCTCTGCTCATCAGTTTATCGGTGTTTTTCGGTGCACGAGCCACGAGGTGACACTTAGCCTATGGGGGGGGGGGGTACTTTGACTGCGTGGGCGCATTTTTTGTAGATGGGGGTACACTTGCAACGGGCAACCACACTCATAAATAAAGTTCTACCCGTGGAGGAGGGCAGACAGCCGTAAAAATGATGCTTGGTTGTTCCGTTATTCCCATGAATTGTTGTAGGTGGAATATTCAAGTTCGAGCCAGAAAAGAGGGCTACGTTGCATCCCCATGCCCCTTCTTTAACCCTCGCCGGACCTATTGGTTTTCTACATACGCGCCGGCCGAGGGGGGGGGGGCGGGTACGACCCCCCCCTCGCCGTTTCGCCCCTGGTGAAGCTAGCGCGTCGCGGAAAAAACGAGCGTGTGCGCCGTTACGAGACGCAGAGATTGGTACCCGATTTTAAGGTCCTAGGTCAACCGGTGACCTCTGAGGTCAGGTCAAGTGCCCCAAGGTACGGTTCAGTTTTTGGTGAATAACTTCGCAAAAAACGGCCGCAGAGCGCCGATTTTGGCACCATCGTGTTCGTCTCGCTCAGGCGCGTCGAATGATATACTTTTTGTCCGGGTCAGGTCAACTTGGGGTGTTGACCTCAGGTCAAGGTCAGGTCAGCACCCCCAGGTCACGAAGTTGGTCGAAAGGGGTCATGTCGCATATCATTCGATTCGGCAGGTCTTCCTGAGTCCATTGGTGGCTTTCCCGGCTCGCTAGCTCAATTTGATCAAGAGTTATTGACGAAAAACTAATATGACCTTGATGACGTCATAAATGACGTCACGCAAGGTCAACATTGCAAAAGTGACGCATCTAACCTTGCAAGGAGTGCATAAAATCACGATTCTGTGTGCTTGAGATAGTTGGAGATCGTTCCCGGCGCCAGAATAGCAATTTGAATTTTTCCCCATTGACTTATAATGGTGAGGTCACGAAAATGACCTGACCTCATATGACCTTTAGGAAAAATCCGAGATATACAAGTTGTGAGACTCATAATGGATACTAGATCCTGCAAGTTTCATTTCCCTGTGACATCTCCTCTGGCAGTGAGGGCGTTGCGAAGTTGCGACATCTGAAGACCGTGCAGAGGTTCACTTATGACGTCATAGGTCAGTGACCTGACCTGACCCAAAAATGCGGTTGGTGTCAAAAGATGCGGCTTGGATCAAAGGTCAGGTATGCCAAGTTTCAGCTCTCTATCGCCAGCGTGTTCGGAGCTATCGCGAAAAAACCCTATGGGGGGGGGCGGCACCCGCCCCCCCCCTCGGCCGGCGAGGGTTAATGCACCAGCCAACTGCCAAGTGCTGAAGCCGGTCATGCAGATTGCATCGTGGGGAAACACAGCGCACCACCGTCCACCCTCACTACTACAGTTTCCCGTTTCACTCGCCAGGCGGCAGCACGTACCGCGCGGCCACGGTGAGCTCCATCCGTCCGCCGGCCTCCCTCATCAGCTGATGCGCCTGGGCCGTGCTGAGGGTAGCGGCCGGGACTCCGCCTATACGGAGCACCAGCTCGCCCTCTCGCAGTCCGCACTCGGCCGACAGGCTGCCAGGGTTCACCTGGCGGAGAAAAATAGCGTCAGAAGTTGCCGAGGGGGACGGAATCGACTAATGACGTGACGTCGGAACGGGGGCAGACTTAATCCGTCCTTGCCATGGGCGTCGAAACCGGGGGGGACGGGGGGGACGCGTCCCCCCCAGTCGAGGAATCCGGGGGGGACGTCCCCCGCAAAAATATCCCCATGAATGATTTAAAAAGTGACCTACAACATTGGTATATTGTCGTTTTGGGATGAAATTGCGGATACCTACTCGTATACAAATTGAATCTGCGAATTGCTGACACTGTACCCTTGCTTACAGGGCTGCGGAGTAGATGATTTTGGTAACTCCGACTCCGGCTTAAAAAAAAATGCTCGGAGTCCCCACTCCATCTCCGACCACGGCATCCCTCAGCCCGCATCGGAGTGAAAAAAACATGTGATGTGATGCTTTTGTCTCTTTGAACGTTTCTTGGCACACTAAAAGATAACATTGCCTACGAGGTGCAGCTCTGGACTGTCCGTCCCAGGTCCTCGATAGGGAGCCAAAGCTCCAGTTGTAGGGGCGACCATATCCAACAAGGGCTGAAGATCTGTCCCAAAGTCTCAGAGTGCAGTAGGACAACAGCTTGCAGAGACCACACATTTTACATAGGATATTCGTAATAGTCAAGACCTTCAGCTCACTCTCAAACGGCCCTCTTCCCGTTCGAGGCCATCTGACAGCAGAAGGTCTCACCATGGCCTTTAAACGCTTGATGCTTGAGGGTGAGAGGACCTCGACCTGGTCTGAGAGAGCCCAGGAGGACGTAATGCTCAGTATGCCCCTACATTGGTCTTACCATGACCCCTACAATCACCACAGCCAACAGAATCTCCAGCTCTTATTCGACCCATCCTCGGGGATGACGTTGACTCTGACTTCAGAGTTGAAGTCTGTTACGATTTTGGTGACTCCAACTCCGTATCCGACCAAAACCGTCGACTACGACCGAAGTCGACTCCGACCCCGCAGTCCTGCAGCTACACTGCACAGAAGTTGGAAAAAAGCTGTACCTATGGTTGACAGCGGTTTACAGAGGACCACACGATTTTTTAGAGGCAGGGCTGCTGGACTTGGTGACCAGACCCTAACTGTCCTGGTATCAAACTTATTACGCGGGATGCAAAATTTATGCGTTTTGGGACTGTTTTGCCAAGAGTTTTTGCCAATTTTCGCGGCGCTTCGCGCCGCCAATTCATGCACAGGTAGAAAAGAGTGTGACTAATAACGCCTCCACGCGAGAACATGAGAACATGTGTATTGCGTATGCGTTACAAGTAGTGCATAGGCCTGAAATTGTACGGTAAACTAACTAACTTTTGGGTTTTTAGTCAGCCAATCCGTCCCCCCCAGTCAAAAATCCGTGGCGACGCCCCTGGTCCTTGCCCTCCTCAGGATAAACCCCTCCGCGTCCTCCCCTCCCCTTCCCACTGCCCACACACGCTTCCCCCCCCCCCCCCCAGCTGCCGGTGGCGGTCACCCTCATCAGACAGCCAGTGGCGAGGGCAGGTCTTCATCGGACTTGTCGCAATCGACCACACCCTCTCCGGGGTGGCCGTTATAGCGGCAGGGCGGCTGTCCCCCCGGGACATTTTCGTCCCATATTGGGACGATTTCTGCCGCTGCGGCGCACCTTCAGTGGCCCGTACAGACCAATGTTACCATCCTTTTCTATCATCCTATAGCTGTGCAGTGAGCAACGGCTTTCAGGGCAAGACAGCTTCCTTTTAAAAAAAGCAAAGCGGAAGATTTGCTGTTCTGTCTCAGATAGTCGGCGGCTCGTGTAATATATGAGCTGTGTGACGAATAGGTCCTATATTTCACTGGGATATAACCCTCGCCGGCCGAGGGGGGGGGGCGGGTGCCGCCCCCCCCCCCCATAGGGTTTTTTCGCGATAGCTCCGAACACGCTGGCGATAGAGCTGAAACTTGGCATACCTGACCTTTGATCCAAGCCGGATCTTTTGACACCAACCGCATTTTTGGGTCAGGTCAGGTCACTGACCTATGACGTCATAAGTGAACCTCTGCACGGTCTTCAGATGTCGCAACTTCGCAACGCCCTCACTGCCAGAGGAGATGTCACAGGGAAATGAACCTTGCAGGATCTAGTATCCATTATGAGTCCCACAACTTGTATATCTCGGATTTTTCCTAAAGGTCATATGAGGTCAGGTCATTTTCGTGACCTCACCATTATAAGTCAATGGGGAAAAATTCAAACTGCTATTCTGGCGCCGGGAACGATCTCCAACTATCTCAAGCACACAGAATCGTGATTTGATGCACTCCTTGCAAGCTTAGATGCGTCACTTTTGCAATGTTGACCTTGCGTGACGTCATTTATGACGTCATCAAGGTCAAATTAGTTTTTCGTCAATAACTCTTGATCAAATTGAGCTAGCGAGTTGGGAAAGGCACCAATGGACTCAGGAAGCCCTGCCGAATCGAATGATATGCGACATGACCTCTTTCGACCAACTTCGTGACCTGGGGGTGCTGACCTGACCTTGACCTGAGGTCAACACCCCAAGTTGACCTGACCCGGACAAAAAGTATATCATTCGACGCGCCTGAGCGAGGCGAACACGATGCTGCCAAAATCGGCGCTCTGCGGCCGTTTTTTGCGAAGTTATTCACCAAAAACTGAACCGTACCCTGAGGCACTTGACCTGACCTCAGAGGTCACCGGATGACCTAGGACCTTAAAATCGGGTACCAATCTCTGCGTCTCGTAACGGCGCACACGCTCGTTTTTTCCGCGACGCGCTAGCTCCACCAGGGCACAGTGGCCCTTTTTCAGAATTAGCACGCATAAATTCAAAATATTTTTTCTCTTCTTTTGAGTAAAAAGCAGTCTAATCGTGTGCAAAACATTCCAAACTATCCGATGGTGCCATTTTTACCTCCTAAAAAATAATTATCTTTGGTAAAACTGACCGCAAAATCGAAGTTTGTCGAGAGGCGCGCGGACACCACCGGCGGACCCTAAAAAGTAGGGTGAGATGAACATCAATTTGTAAGGCTTTCGGTGAGAAAATATTAAAATTTAGTGGCATGGCTGTGAAGCTGAGTTTACGTAGAAGCCCTAGAGACCACAATTTTCATTGTATAAACTTAAATAGACCACTTTTGCCGAATATTGTGGACACAATAACAGGGCAATTACACTGATCAACAGCCAAAAATGTACAGAGAGGTGAGCATTCGTTTCTACCTAATTCGAGGCCGCTGATTCCAAATCTGGTCACCGTTTTGCCCCATCGGGCTCAGTTTTTTGTCTGGCACATACCGATGCCTTAAATTCTCACTTTTTATGCATTGTTGTTGACCTATTGTAGATATCCTTAGATCTAGATTATATATCTTTTTAATCCATATTTACCACAGCCAGGCATCACAGATGAGCACAAAACTGTTGAATTTGTTGGAACAGAAATGTAATTTTAGCCGCACAGGTTTTGTTATGGACCTCCTCAAAGTGGCTGGCGTAAACTCTCCACATATATAGCAAAATCGGTCGGGGTCGTTCAGGCACTTGCGGCGCTCCATCAAGCGGCTGTTTCAAAGAATCGGTTTCCGCGAGGCTGAAAGAAGAAGTTACAGCTAACTGACGGCAGTAAAAGAACATTTCAAATATCAAAATAGTTCATATGCATTCTCAGTGTCGTGTCGACGGTGACGTGCGGACGGCTCACCGGGTCTCCATATTTGTGTTTAAAGGGTGATGTAGATCTGCCGTGTCTTACCCCAAGTGTGCTGTATAGCATCGATTAACATTCAAGAAATTAACAGCCATAAGATAGCACCAATATTTTGATTGTCGAAAGTAAATTGGATCACTAGCCATGTAATATAAAGACAGAATAACAAGCTGAGTACATGCACCTAAGAAAAGGACGCAAACATACTGTAATGCCAAAACCTAGCACGACACCCCATTTCTAGTGCCAGATTCGTATTTTGCACCCTAAATTACCCCAGACGCAGAGCTTTTTCCTTCGGAGTCACCGGCAATGTCATATAAAAGAAGAGTGAAATGTTGAAAATAGCCATTCAGAGCAGATACACAGACATACTGGATCTCAAAAAACCTAGCCTGATACGCCATTTCTGATGCCAGATTCGTGTTCAGCGTCACAAATTACCACAGAAATGGGTATTCTGCTTTCTGTACTATGACAAAAGTCAAATTTTGTTGTTCAGTGTTATTAACTGGAGATGGCGGCATACATATGAAGCTTTATGTTAAGTAGCACACTCTGGAACATGTCGTATTATACATCGTTCGAATCGCCGATCTCTTCTGACCATGTCCACCAAAGGGCATCGCGCCATTTTGCGCCATTTTGCTTCTACGGTGGATAACGTGAGCCAGTTCAGTCCGCGAGCGGCTGTGGCTCCTGTTCGATACGACTAAGCTCATTGACCTGGCTCGAAGCTGGTGTCACCTGGTGTGCGCCTAAATGTGGCTTGACCTTTGCCATAAGATGTGCTTATTGAAATGTCATGTAGGCATAACGCTGTGCTCAAGAAAAACTGTCCGATTTCTTGTCGCGTTTGATGTCCAAGCCGCACAAGTCCCGTGGTCGGCTTAAGATCTAACGTCAAAAGCGCCTATGTGTTTGTATTGTTCGCGTCGCGCTGACCTTAGTTGCTGCCCGGCCGGGGCCGACTGACGGTGGCTGGCAACAGCTGTAGAGATACGGTCACGTGACGCCCTGGGGCGTCCTGGCGGTCAGTGCAGCGCGGTCGGCTGGCGGGCTCGCCACACTTGCGTTCGGAGCGGCCTGGGCCGGCGGGCGAGCCGTGCGAACGTGCGCCAAATCTTGGGCCAAACGGCCTGTCGCTGTTGGGCCGAATCTCATTGGGCAGTTCGTTTCTTTTCTTCTCTTTGCATTGGCAGGGAATACGTCCTTGATCACGTGGTGATGTCTTACACCACTTTCAGGTAATGTGAGAATTAATGCGTGCTA